TGCCATCAAGTATATATGATCTTTCTAATGAAACACAACTTGTTTTGCATGCAGGCTTTGAGAAACCGTTAATGGCATGTTGCGGATACGGAGGGCCTCCTTACAACTACAACGTGAACATAACGTGTGGGCACGGTGGCTCTAACGGTTGTGACGAAGGGTCTAGGTTTATAAGCTGGGACGGAATACATTACACGGAGACGGCTAACGCCATTGTAGCAATGAAAGTATTGTCAATGCAACACTCCAAGCCACCAACTCCGTTTCATTTTTTCTGTGCCGGCTGAGATTTATACAAAGTTCTTTTAAATTTTCTATGTGTTTGTTTTGTTCCCACTTCAAGTAAAAAACCTTTTATTTCCTTGCTTCGCAAGTCAAACTTTACAACTAAATTTCTCGTTATAGTTGGTGGTATGATAGTCGGATTCCTTCATTTGTTCATGTTCACTCTTTTCCTGTTAATTCTTGCTGTGGTTGTCGTTGAAGTTCTAGTGAATTTCCTCCTCTTCTATCTGGAGAGCGACTCATCCTCCGACTATGATTTTGGGGATCATTCTTTTTTTACTAGTCCGAGTACGAGGATAGCGACACGGACACCGACATTTATCTTTCCGTTACTGAAAACTAAAGTCGAAGTCAATGTATTCTTACTTGTGTTACTATGTTCCAACCAATCCATTCAGAGCTCATGTATTTTAATTCACTTATCAAAGAAACTTGATTTTTTCCTTGAGAAACGTTTGATACTAATCTATACATGTAATATCATTTTGACTATAATTATACAAATTTATTCAATAATCATATCGTCTTGTGCATATTTTGCGTATGATCATAGTTCTTATTTCTCAGTTTATTTTGATTTAATGTGGTTTTGATTTTGATTTTTTTTTCACAGATTTCAAAGGAATTGATAAAGCCATCTCTTCTCTGCTGTAAAAGATAATTTTTGAAGAAAAGAAGAGTTCATGCTCAGAAACTAAGAAACAAAGAGTTGAATCAAAAACTTTCTCAGCCTCTCACGGCTAATGAGATCGAAGCCAACAAGATGATTCTGCTTGTTTCTTCTATCACGTCAAGAACAGAGAGTGTTCATGTCAAGATTATTGGTAATCTTCTTAGCAATCAATCAAATCGCTTCAATAAGATTGTTTGAGTAGTGAGAACTGCATGGAGCAGTTCTCACAAACCATGCATGGGAGCTTGATGAGAGTTTTCTATGTGTTTTTCTGCTTATTTCTTTCTTAGTATTTGTTATCAATGTGCCTATATAGCATTTCATCGTCTATGCTTAATAAAACAGAAGATTTGTTCTTCAAGCAAAAAATAGAATCCATGGATGGCATACATGGCTTAGTCTTCAAGCTATACTAACCAGTAACCACATCACGATAACTAACCATACTGAACAATTTAATTTGTTTTGTAAAGCTTTGTTAGTTGCTGCATCTATGTTTCTCTGCTTCTGGCTGCTGCTGATTCACGCGCATCCACTAATGGATCGCATTTACTCAACCTCTAAAATTGGTTTACGCATATAGAGATGGGCTAATTTAACCAATTTACAAAGGCCAAAAGGAAAATGAAATACTAATAAACTATTTGGGCCACTTAATAGGTCGATCTTTATTCTTTCGCATACCTATATAAGGATTGCATTACTCTTCCATTTCATTCCAGGAAAAAAATCGAAAGCAAATTTATCTTCTTCTTCATCGAGCTGTTTCTCTAGACTATATATACGATTCTAGGTTTTCTTAAGCTCTTGCTTCGTGAGAATAGGAACTGTGTTCTAGGGGATTGAGTAATCGCAGATTTTACTCTACCAAAAAAGTTAAGGAGCCCTAATGTCGTCGGAGCCATGTTCCCTTCCTCCTATAGGATGAATCGTTTTCCAGGAACTACGGCGACACGACGTCACAGTCGTCAACGGGGTATCGTGAAGCCGGAAAGTGGAGAGAGGCCATCGAGGGAAAGAAGTTGACCTCGTTTAGCTATTTGGGGGAAGAGATGGTGGGATCAGAGGTTCTAGTAAGAGGCCGAGTGGACACGAATCGCACAAAATCTAGCAAATTAGGTTTTCTGGTCCTGAGGGAAAGGGGATTGACGGTCCATATCCATCATTGTCTGTGAAGGCGAGAAAAGCTTGACCAAAGACAACCGTGAGCTCTGAAAGTTCCATCTTACGGGAATTCTTCCTGCACCAAGGTAAAATATGATTCCATTTTCCATCTTGGAGCTGTTTTATAACAGTTTTGGTTTTCTTGGGTTACTTGAGATGCAAGAAACTAACCAACATTTCAGGGGAGTGCCACAAAGTGAGGTGAATTTCGAAGTGGACGCAAATGGGATTTTTTTTTTTTTTGAATTGAATGTAAAATTAATTCGAACCCAAAAAAAAATCGTTTTGTACATCAAGTGCTTCGTGAGATTAAGAGTTGATGTACAAAACGATTTTTTTTGGGTTCGAATTAATTTTAAATCTCCTTAACTCAATGGTGTATACAACAAAGGAGGTTTTCAGTCAAAGTGTCAAACATGACTACATGAGAGGAAACTAATTAAAATGATAAAAAGTATTTCGTGAATAGTCTTTACTCTTTACTTAATTTAAGAAAATCCTTTAACCATAAAAACACCTTCATAGTCAATACAATTTTCTTCCCTATTTTATCATGATATATTTGATTTTGTATTAAACTTTTCTTTTTGTATTAACCTTTTTTTTCTGTTGGCAAAAATTACATTAGTTGTATATATAATGCGTTAATGGATAAGTAAGTGGTAAGTTACATATATCGATTGCTTTTGCTGCTTTTGACGAAATATTTTTAGGGTTTTGACTCGCGGTCGCGGAGATGGCAGAAGCCAAAACTGGAGAGCCAGTTTGTGAAGAACAAAACAAAATCAAAAACAGTCAACGATTCACAAAACTTTGTGCACCTGTCTTAGCAGTCTTGCGTGTCAAACTTGGTGCACGATGTCCTAGTGATGCTAATGTCTAAAAGTGGATTGCAAAGGCTGTTGATCGTGGTTTGCTTGAGCTAAAATTCGAGCTTCGCTGGTCCGCAGGTCCAACCAGAATGCCTAAGAGCCTTTCCACATGTGAAACCCTCAAGGAACTAACTCTCTCTCACAAGATACTTGTAGATTTCCCTTCTTCTTCTCGCCTACCATCGCTCGCAGAACTTGAACTTTTTTATGTGGTATATAAAGACGAGGCTTCTCTAGCTAGGTTCTTATCGAGTTGCCCAGTCCTTTCGACTTTGGGCGTGAAACGAATGAAGGATGACAATGTGACAACGTTTACTGTGAAAGTGCCTTCTTTATGGTTTTTATTTTATCAAAATATTATGCCACTGCTTGATGACAGTGATGCAGTGAACACCGGTGGGTGTTTGGTTATGGATACTCCGGCATTAACAACCTTTTTCATCGATGACTGTTCAAGAGACGGTTGCTCGATGGAGAATATGCATTTTCTGAAGAAGGCATCTATTGATATAACGTATTCTCATGACATTGACAAGTTCATGAAATCTTTTTCTGCGGTCTTGTCTCTCGATTTGTGTTTGACCGATGAAGTGGTAGCTCTCTTAATCTATCTATTGCTAGTTCGTTGTGATTATATTGTTGCATCCATCGATTTACATTGTTGTTTGTTTCGTTGCAGCTTCCTCATTGTACCAACATCAACTTCTCTCGACTAGAAAAGTTAAGTATACAACCAAGTAGATCAGACTGGTTGGAACCACTTTTACTTTTACTGGAAAATGCTCCAAAACTCGAAAATCTTTGCGTTGATCATGTACGTACCCTCTCTTTCTCTTCTTAGCTTCGATGGACTAAATACTAGTCAATTTCTTTTTTTTTTAATTATAATTTTTAACCATATCCATCATTGTTTCTCAGGATTTTATTATTAAACCCGAGGTCCCACTTTCTTGGAACCAACCGAGTTCTATTCCTAAATGCTTGTCGTCACAACTCGAAATATTTGAATGGAGAGGATATGGAGACAGAGAAGAAGAGAAAGAATTCTTGACATACATCTTAGCTCACTCTAAGTGTTTAAAGACCGCAAAAATCTCTCTGAGACACCCCTTCTTCGATCTTGAAGAGCAAGATTTGATCATCGAGTGGTTGAAGTATATTCCTAGGGTTTCAACATCATCTCAGCTTTTGCTTAAATGAAAAATTCTAGTCTAGTCTTGTCATGCTTAACCATATGATAGAGGTTCGGTTAATGTGCAATCTGCTAAATATAATGCTAACAACTGCTATTATTATACACACAAAATCTATGCTTTGAACAACTTGTAAGATTAAAAACGTAAAAAGTAGTTAAGAAAGCTAGCTAGACAAGTTTTTTTAATCTCTTGTCGTTGTATTCCTCAATCCTACCTTGCTTTTCTTTTCTTCTCTGCTGAGTGCTTTTAAAGAAAAAACATTCGAATCCAAATCTTAGCATTCAGCTGAGCTTTCTAGACAATGGAAATAGCACTACATGGTCGTATAGTTTGAACAATTTCAAAAATGAGTTTTGCTAACATTTTTTTTTATTCGATAACGTACTATACTATTGATCATTCAGTGTAGTTCAAATTTTGGTAACTGTCAACTATATAATTCGACTTATACAGTTCAGCAAAAAGCATAAACCAGCCACATGATACGTCACTAGCTTAGGAAATGAAAGAGTTAAATTCAAAATACTTTACAAACTAGTCAATGCGTATATATTCTCGTTCCAAATCTTGTTCCGCAAGATTCGTAACTGTTGAGAACTGCTTTGTGTCATCTTCTCAGAACTGCTTTTCCTCATCGGTGAGATTCTTCCGAGAATGAAGGCAAATTTACTCCTACGTCGAACGTATTGCTCAATCATCCCTCCCAGTGCAAATGCTAGAATCACTCATCTCTCCCGCACCGGCCAGATTCATGAAGCCAGGAAGCTTTTCGACTCCTGCGACTCTAAACCAGTCTCTTCCTCGAAATCCATGGTCGCCGGATGTTTCGAAAACCGCATGCCTCGCGATGCACATCTTCTGTTCGACGAAATGCCTAAGAGAGACGTCTTCTCTAGGAAAGCGTTCGACGAAATGCCTGAGAAGAATGAGCTTTCTTGTACTGTGATGCTTCATGGGTTTAATTCAAAGTAGGAGGATTGATGATGCGCGTAGGCTGTATGATACGATGCCCGTGAAAGTCAACTTCGCAAGGGCTATTATGATTGATGGGTTGTGCAGAGAAGGTAGAGTAGATGAGGCGAGAGAGGTTTTCGATGAGATGTCTGATAGAAATGTGATTACTTGGACTACAATGGTCAGAGCATACGGTAAGAACAATCGTGTGGATGATGCTAGGAAGCTTTTCGATGAGATGCCAGAGAAAAATGGAGTTACGTGGACTTCTATGGTTATGGGGTATACACAGAACGGACGAACTGAGGAGGCTGAAGAGATTTTTGAAGCTATGCCGGCGAAGACGGATTTCGCTTGTAGTGTTATGATTGTTGGGTTTGGAAAGAAAAGAGAGATGGCAAAAGCAAGGAAGGTTTTCGATTCGATGAAGGAGAGAGATGAGACAGCTTGGGGGATGATGATCCAAATGTACGAAAGAAACGGTTTTGAATCGGAGGCGCTTGGTTTATTTGCTCTGATGCAGAAACAGAGAGCCATACCGAGTTTTCTGACGTTGGCCATTGTTCTTTCGGCTTGTGTCAGGTTAGGAAGTCTCCACCATGGAAGACAGGTCCACGCTCAGTTGGTGAAATGTCAGTTTGGTGATGGTACGTTGTTTGCATATGTCTTGATGAGGATGTACATGAAATGCGGCGAGCTTGTGAAGTCAAAGCTGGTCTTTGACAGGTGTCGTTCGAAGGACATTGTCATGTGGAACTCAATCATTTCTGGTTATGCCTCGCACGGTCTAGGAGAGGAAGCTGTGAAAGTTTTCCATGAGATGATTTTGTCTGGTAGTACTAAGCCTAACGAACTCACCTTCAGTGCAACTCTCAGAGCATGTAGCGACGCTGGGATGGTTGAGGAAGGGCTTAAGATCTTTGAATCTATGGGATCAGGTTTTGCGGTTAAGCCATTAGCCTTGCATTATGGTTGCGTCGTAGATATGCTTGGGGGTGCAGGGCGGTTTGATGAGGCAATGAAGCTGATTGAAAGCATGACTGTGGAACCGGATGGTGCAGTTTGGGGTTCTCTGTTGGGAGCGTGTAGGGCTCACTCGCAGCTGGATTTGGCGGAATTTGCTGCTAAGAAACTCGTAGAGATTGATCCGGAGAAGTATGAGATGGTGAGAAAGTCACCACCTTGATGAGACAACTCTCTCTCTGTTTTTGTGCTTATTCAATGTGCCTATATCGCATTTCCTCGCCTATGCTTTAATAAACACTGAAGATTTCTTCTTCAAGCAAAACTAGAATCCAAATGGCTTAGCTTCAAGCTACACTAGCCACATCATGAACAATTTGAATTGCACAGAGTAAGGAAGCATTCTGATTTGTTTTGTAAAGCTTTGTTAGTTGCTGCATATGTTTCTCTAAAATTGGTCTAGGCATATAGAGATGGGCTAATTTAACCAATTTACAAAGGCAAAACTGAAATATTTTCTCAACTGTTTGGGCCACTTATTAGGCCCACTTGTATTCTTTCGCAAACCTATATAAGGACTGCATTACTCTTTCCTTTCATTTCAGTCAGAAAAAAAATCAAAAGCAAATTTATCTTCGAGCCGTTTCTCTAGCCTCTACGATTCTAGGTTTTCTTAAGCTGTGTGTTTAGGGGATTGAGTGATTGCAATGTCGTCGGAGCAATGTTCCCTTCCTGTGGAGGATGAATCATTTTCCAGGAACTACGGCGACACGACGTCACAGTCGTCGACGGGGTATCGTGAAGCCGGAAAGTGGAGAGAGGCCATCGAGGGAAAGAAGTTGACCTCGTTTAGCTATTTGGGGGAGGAGATGGTGGGATCAGAGGTTCTAGTAAGAGGCCGAGTGGAAACGAATCGCACAAAATCTAGCAGATTAGGTTTTCTGGTATTGAGGGAAAGGGGATTGACGGTCCAATGCGTGGCTACACAATCGGAAGCGACGAAAGTGAGCGCCAACATGATTAAATACATTAAGCAGCTCACTAAGGAATCCGTCGTCGATCTCATCGGTATCGTCGTCAAACCCAAGGATGAGGTCAAGGGAACAACGCAAAAGAAGGTTGGTTTCCTTTTCGCTTCCTTCTCTTAATCGTGACATGGAAAGACACTAAAATTGTTGTTTTATCGCTCAGGTTGAAATTCAAGTGAGGAAATTGTACTGCGTCGTGCGTGCCCCATCAAACCCACCACCACTTCTCGTGGAGGATGCTGCTCGAAGTGAGGAAGAGAGTGAGGTTAATCGGAGCTGATACGATTTTTTTTTTTGGTCAACAAAGTCGGAGCTGGTACAATTGTGTTGAGAATTCTGATAGTTTGTGGTCTTCTGGTTAATTAGAGCTGTTGTTTCCAATGATTGTGGCAGCGTCCTGTAGCCAATCAGGACACGCGTTTGAATTACAGGGCGATCGACCTCAGAACACCGGCTAATCAAGCCATTTTCAGTATTCGGTGCCAAGTCGAAACTGTAAGCCCTCTTTTAAATGATTTGCTATGTGTTGCCTTGTTATCATCTGATCGTTCCTTGAATGATTTAGTTGCTTTTGCGGAAATTAGCTTAACAATTGTGTAGGCGTTCAGAGAATTCTTGCTATTCAACGATTTTGTTGGAATCAACACACCGAAATTGATGGCTGGTGGTAGTGAAGGAGGTTCTGCTGTGTTTAGGTTGGACTACTTTGGGCAGCCTGCTTGCCTGGCTCAGTCTCCTCAGCTTCACAAGCAGATGGCGATATGTGGTGGCTTGCAACGCGTCTTCGAGGTCGGTCCTGTTTCCAGAGCTGAAAAGTCCTTCACTCATAGACACCTGTGTGAATTTATTGGTCTTGATGTGGAGATGGAGATTTTAAGCCACTATTCTGAGGTAAAATTGCGCTGTTAAACAAATGTTAGCGTATCATTTCTGTTATATGGTGCCTGATAAAACTTGTTTGTGTAGATAATGGATATTGTGGATGAGCTGTTCGTGCAAATATTCACTAAACTGAATGAGAGGTGCACAAAGGAACTGGAAGCTGTCGGGAAGCAATTCCCATTTCTACCTTTGAAGGTGATGATGCAATCTTGTTAGTAAACCGAGTATTGTTGTATCTATCTTATTGGCTTCTGATGATTGGCATTAAACTTGCAGTTTCTTCCAAAAACATTGAGGCTAACCTTTGCAGAAGGGATCCAAATGCTTAAGGTATGCCATTGTTCTGATGAGTTATTTGAATGGAAGAGCAATAGTTAATGAGTTGCTTCATTAATAATTGGTAATCTTTGATGTTGACAGGATGCTGGTGTGGAGGTTGATCCTCTTGGAGATCTAAATACAGAATCTGAGAGAAAACTTGGGCAGCTCGTTCTTGAAAAGTACGACACAGAGTTCTACATGCTGCATCGCTATCCTTCGGCAGTTAGGCCGTTCTACACTATGCCATGTGAAGACGATCCTCGCTACAGCAACTCATTTGATGTCTTCATTAGGGGTGAGTTTCTGGGTTTTTACCGATTAAGTTTGCCACAGATGTTTTAATACTAAATTTTTGCGGTTTTGTGGTAGGCGAGGAGATCATATCAGGAGCTCAACGTATCCACATGCCAGAATTCTTGGAGAAACGCGCAGGAGAATGTGGCATTGATCTCAAGACAATAGAAGCATACATTGATTCATTCAGGTAAACCACAAACCTGAACTAGTTTGGTTCCTAGAATTACAGAGCTGGACATTGATGGCTAAGAATAATAATGTTTACAGGTACGGTGCAACTCCTCCTCACGGTGGATTCGGAGCGGGGCTGGAGCGAGTGGTGATGCTCTTCCTTGCCCTCGATAACATCCGCAAAACGTCCCTGTTCCCTCGTGACCCTAATAGACTCGCTCCCTAATTTCTTTTCAACTCAGAGGCTAAACTCCATTGATGTTTTTTAGAGTTTATGGGATTTTCTTGTTGTTGCCTGATTCTTGTCCTAACGTGCAAAGTGAATCTTGAATTATGTTTCTTTCACATTACCCGAGTAATCTAAAGCCTTTCTCCCTATATAATATGTTAAAAGTTGATTTCTGCTGAAGAAATGTATGTCCCCATTAACGGTTCGCATTTTAGTTAACTCTAAGGGTTTAACTAAACATTCCTCTAAAATTGGTTTAAGGAATTCCTAAACTTTGGTTTAGCTAAACCGAACGATACCGGTTGGTTATTGAGGGAAGGGAATACATTGGTTTAGGCAGGGGGGTGGGTAGGTTGACTTTCGAACACACAAACGTCAACGTCTCTTCTGGTACCGAGTCGGTGTCTGCGTGGAGTTGCTGAGATCACTTTCTACTCAACTTCTTCGATCCTATCTTCTCGAAAGTCGTCACCTTTTTCTGCGAGCAAGACTTCCAAGACTTTAAAATTTCTGAAAGACGATCACTTTCTTTTTTCGTTAACCGTCTCTGTTTCAGATTCTCTGTTTTTACGGGTTCGTGAGGTTGTAATTCGATGGCGAGGAAGAAGATCAGAGAGTACGACTCCAAGAGACTTATCAAGGAACATTTGAAGCGTCTCGCTAATATTGACCTGAAAATTCGCTCTGCTCAGGTCACCCCTCACGAATTTAAGCTTTGTTCTCTTTGAATCTGCTTTGAACTATCCACATGTTACGGACACAAATTGTGTAAATTCCGTAGAGCAATATTTGGAAATGAGTTGGTAGTACAACAGTTTAAGTACTTTGTAAGAATTGTGATTGAGACTGATCAGGATTAAGTGGTCCTGATATTAAGAATCTTAGGAAAGATAATTTCATCTCTCTTGTATTGATGATTTAGGACCTAAAATCAACGAGAACCTTTTTAGTTAGAAATGAATGTTTTCACTGATACAGATGTGTAATTCGTTTACTGTGTCACTTTTTAGGTGACACAATCAACGGATTTGACTGAGTTGACGAACGAGGAGTCATGGCTATCGTCCACGAAGCTAGTTGTGAAGCCTGACATGCTGTTTGGAAAACGCGGGAAAAGTGGCTTGGTAGCTCTGAAGCTGGATCTTGCTCAAGTTTCAGAGTTTGTCAAAGTCCGCCTCGGTACTGAGGTAACTCATCCCAGGCCAAAGTAATAGAATCCAGTGGTTTAAAATTGTTGGATTTTTGATGTTTTTGCATTTGGATGTGTCGCAGGTGGAGATGGAGGGATGTAAAGCACCTATCACTACATTCATTGTGGAGCCATTTGTGCCTCATGATCAAGAATATTACCTCTCTATTGTATCTGATAGGCTTGGCTGCACTATAAGCTTCTCTGAATCTGGAGGCATTGAAATAGAAGAAAACTGGGACAAAGTACGTAACTAACTATCTTTTATGTGTGCTTCTTTTCTTGTTTTTCTTCAGCTCTATTGTTTCCCCCTAAGCAAGATAATAAAGTTCACCTTGAGACTTTGGTTTTTGGAATCAACAGGTGAAGACTGTGTTTCTTGCTACGGAAAAGTCAATGACCCTAGAAGTATGTGCTCCATTGATAGCAACACTTCCTCTTGAGGTAAGTTTCTGTTTGCTGTGATTATGGAAGCTTCTGAGTAAGCCAGTGACACCGTGAAGCTATTTCTCTTAGAAAAGCTTAGATATCTGGTTTTGATGTGCATACATTCTCTGTTTTTGTATGGTGCTCTGCTCAGTACTGTTTTTTTTTTTTTTTTTTTAGGTTAGAGGTAAAATCAGCGACTTCATAATGGGGGTGTTTGCTGTATTTCAAGGTATAGATATATGGGAATTTTTTCAAATCACAAACATTTGAAGCAAATACCAAGTGCTCTGATATCTGAGGACGTAATTTTATTTATATTTGTGTTTTCCCTGAAGATTTGGATTTCAGTTTCTTGGAGATGAATCCTTTCACACTAGTTGATGGAGAGCCATACCCACTGGATATGAGAGGAGAATTGGACGATACTGCTGCCTTCAAGAATTTCAACAAGTATGTGTGCCAACATTTCTTAGTTCCTCGTTGAGCGATCCTAAATCAAACTCATTGGATTGAAATGTTCTATGAGTTCAGGTGGGGAGACATTGAATTTCCTCTGCCATTTGGAAGGGTCCTCAGTCCAACGGAGAGCTTCGTTCATGGTTTAGATGACAAGGTATAAGCGGTCAGCTTTTCTTAAATATCTTATTTTTTTACTCATAAACAAAAGTGATTTGAGTATTTGACTGATTATATTGCAGACGAGTGCTTCTTTGAAGTTCACTGTATTGAATCCTAAAGGCCGCATTTGGACTATGGTAGCTGGAGGCGGTGCTAGCGTCATATATGCTGATACGGTGAGTTAAAACTTGCAACAACCCCCTGAGGCTTAAGATTCCATTGATGTTTGGGAAGAACCAGTCAACTTATTGTGTGAGTTGGTGGCTGTTTAAATGACTTAAGCTTATCTGCTTTTGACAAAGGTTGGGGATTTAGGGTATGCATCAGAGCTTGGGAACTACGCAGAGTATAGTGGAGCACCTAATGAAGAAGAGGTGTTACAATACGCTAGAGTTGTCATTGATGTGAGTCATGTCAAAGAAGTTAGCTTTTGACATGTACTGTTTTTCTTTATACAAAATCTAGAGATTCACTGACCGAATGTTCGGCATTTCTCAGTGTGCGACTTCTGATCCTGACGGGCGTAAACGAGCTCTTCTAATTGGAGGAGGCATAGCTAATTTCACTGATGTGGCAGCTACTTTCAATGGTATCATCAGAGCCCTTAGAGAAAAGGTACTTGTAAAGAAAAAAGACCTCTAGTGAACTGTTGCTACTGCATTCTGGTGAAAATGAGAGTAATTTTCCTAAGAATTGAATCGATGTTGGCAATTTGTATTGTTTTTTTTGTGTGTGTGTGTGTGTGGCATGAGCAGGAAACAAGATTGAAAGCATCAAGAATGCACATATACGTAAGAAGAGGTGGTCCAAATTACCAAACTGGTTTGACCAGAATGCGAGCTCTTGGAGAGGAACTCGGTGTTCCTCTAGAGGTAACTAAACAACTACTTATGGAAATTTAGCAGCTGTGTAAATAATGACTCTTACAACTTAAACCTAGGAAAAATGGTGAAAACTAACTCTGTTGAAGAATTTCTCAGGAAAATTAGTTAGCTCGAACACTGAACTTCATAAGGATTGATGATTGCAGGTATATGGACCCGAAGCAACGATGACAGGAATCTGCAAACTAGCCATCGACTGCATCATGTTGCCTGATGCATAATCAACCTTTGATCTGTTCTTCAGATTAAAAAGCAGAACACAAACATGGAGCTGGAGACTAGGAGGAGTGTGTGTTGTTGATTCCTGTTCTTCCTTTCTCTTTCTGCATAAGTAAATTTCAAGCTCCTTGAAACTTTTTCTGTTTTTTTGTGGGTGTGAATTTGAAAACCAAAAACATGTGTGTTCTAAGTGTAACTATAAACAAACGGTCAAAATCCTTTTCAAAAGTTGTACAAATAAAAGAGTTCAAAAGCGATCGGTGCTTTGATTTTTGTGTTCAACACTCGCTGTACAAACCAATGTATTATACAGACATATGAGTTTCAAGACAAATCCAGTTCCATATACAAACATGTGAGTATCTATACTACATATCATATGTGTATATCTATACAAATCCCTCTCTATCATCTCTGTTCATTCAAATCCAAAACCGCAAAACAAGATGAAAGCAAAAAATCCCAAAAAACAAGAACAAGAAAACGCAGACGAAGCAACAAATTTTAAAGAACATAGAAGAAACCACACCAACAAGGGTACTCTGTTTTCTATTAATGATAATCTGATGATTATACTCTCCTGCTCTGTGATCTTGAAACCGGTGTGCTTCTATCGGTATCTGAGTTTTCCTCTTGCGCTCTCCGCCCTCTCCGATCCTGTAAGTTGAATTCTTGCTTATGTTTCTAACAAATTCTGAAACACTTCTGTTCATTTAAGATGCTGTAAAGTTAACACTAACCTCTCTTGGAATGGGATGCTCTTCAGACTCAAGCATACGCACAACTTGGCTCATTTTAGGTCTCTTCTCAGAATCAGGATCAATGCATCTAAGAGCTGTAAGAAGAACACGTTTCAATGCTCTAGTTGCTGGTTTAATCGCAATGTTTGGATCAATCACTTCTTCCAGTCTCTTAGATCCAACCATCATCTTCAACCACTCAACTAGATTCACCTGCAAAAAGTATGTTGATGAGTCTCAAAACTCATCAAGTTATCAAAGTAGTCTATCTACCTCATTAGCAGGACGTGCATAGTCCACAGGATCTCTTCCGGTTATTGCTTCTAAGACCAACACACCAAAGCTGTACACATCACTCTTTTCATTCAAAAGTCCGGTATTCGCATACTCAGGAGCAACATACCTACAACACTCAAACAAAACCATGCCTCAGAAACTCATTCTACTTTCTTTCTTGAGAAAGCAAAGTTGCTTACTAACCCAAATGTTCCCATCACTCGAGTTGTCACATGGCTTTTCCCATCTCCAAGCAACTTGGCAAGACCAAAATCAGAAACCTTTGCGTTGAATCTATCATCGATCAGTATATTGCTCGACTTGATGTCTCTGTGTACCACTTTTGGCTCGATTGCCTCGTGTAGATACGCGAGCCTACACAGTACAAAAAAAACCATTCCTTTTAGCAGAACCATCTTGAAAACTACTTTAAAAGACTAAACAGAGAAAGGAATGTTTTATGCTATATTACGCCTTGGATGTGCAGATGAGAACTTTCATTCTTGCCTCCCAAGTAAGATATCCATGCTGTATCATTGCTCCGTGAAGCCATTCTTCAAGGTTCCCATTGTTCATATACTCATACACCAATATCCTGATAGCATAAAAAAACTCACAAATCTTTGGTTTTCTTTTTCTCTCACAAATAAAGACTAAAAGATTCAATGTTTATACCTGTGTGTGCCTTCAATGCAGTACCCTAGAAGACGTACCAAGTTCTTGTGACGCACGTGACCTATAGCATCAACCTCTATTCTAAACTCTTTCTCAGCTTGTCCCCTACAATAATCAGCAACAAGTAAAGTTTCAGAATAATCAACAAAACAAAACGGAGAAGCTTTTTCTGAGACCAACTCACAAGTGGTTCATGATCTTTTTCACGGCGACATAAGTCCCATTGGTCAACTCTCCTCTGTATACAACTCCATATCCTCCTTCACCAATCACATTTTCCTTTGAGAATCCGTTCGTTGCTATTTCAAGATCTCTTAGAGTAAACCAATGACCCCATCCAAGGTGTGACCCTTGTAAACCGGAAAGAGGTGATGGTGATGGTGTTGCCATCTCATACAATGATGATGAAGACCGGTTTGCAACGCATAGAGAGCCTTCTTCCCCTGAGCCAGACCCGCTACTACTTACTCCGTTCATTATCTTCTTCTCCATATCCGAATTAAACAAGATTTGGTCAGATGCATTGCTGTTTTTCTCCTGAGGATGGAAGTTTGAGACATGCTCCATCCTGACTTCCTTGATCTCTTTTGATACTGGAGGGGTTTGGATGATGATGGGAAGGCTTGAGGTTTTGGTTCTTCTTGATTTCTTTTTCAAAATGAGATAAAATGAAAGAGCAGAGAGTATGGCTATGAAGAAGAGCACAATGATGATTATGGTGGCTTGCCAGATCTTAAGTCCAGCCATTGTTCCTTCCTAATCTGCTTGATACAATCAAACCAGAGGGAGATCAACTTTTAGAACGGAACTATATGGAAAAATGCTGTGGGATTGATGATGAAGAGACTAACAAGTTGATTTAGTGGTCCCATGTTATACAAAAAGGACCACTTATGAGCTAAAATCCCAATAAGGCAAGAAGATAACAAAAATGCAGCAATCATTACATATTCATTATCCAATTACAAGATGCATAGGACAAGCAATGATGATAGAAAAACTGAGAATAAAACAAGTGCCAAAGATGATGAGAATTTTATGATAGTTACCTCTAAGAATGAAAGTTGATAAGAGAAGCTCTGCAAGGAAAAGAAAAAAGATCTTTTAAATGGAACTGAGGATCGATTTTTTTGTGCGTCTCTAAAGAATGTTGAACATAGGTGTGAGGATGAAGAACAAGAACTCAATAAATTTTTTAAAACAAATGGAAAAGAAAAGGGAGGAGAAAAGAAAACTTAAAACGTGGGCAGTGAAATCTGGTGGGAGGGAATAAATGAGGAGGAAGAAGAGATGGAGTTATCAAGTGGTAGGTGATGAAAACTTTTCAGACTTTTTTCTCTCTTTCTTTTAGTTTTTTTTTTTTTTTAATTTAGGTGGTGAAAGGAGCTTGCATTGCAAATTACATTTCATTACATTACAGAAAACATCCTCTGCATGTACGTATAATTATAGATATACGTATAAGACAAGGGGAGAGGATAATGTTTTAACAAGTGTCCGATCTTTTACATTACAACACAAGTGGAGGAAAAAAACTTTTAGAAAGAAATATTTAGCAGAAATCCAGGAAAGTGTTGGTGGATGGTTTGAGTTAAGAGTCAAAAACATTAAAGGACTAATAAATATGAAATTGTGAATATTTATTATGTAAAGAAATGTGTAAATGAATCATATGACGTAGTCGATCGAATACTGTTTTCCAATTTTCTTCTTTTGTTCTATACGTTAACCTTTCTGTTCAAATTCATATCTTGTAGTTGTTGGTACCTACAATTAGTATATTGTGATAATTCAGTAGGGATTATTGGTTTAAAGAGTTTACGTAACAGAAGTGATAACACCACTTACAAAGTTACAATATACAACCTAATATAAACAATAATATATCCGTAGAGAGAAGCTATAGTCTTCTAGAATCGCTTTGAAATGTGAAGCAATTACGAAAAAAGGTTGCTTAATCTTTGTTCATCGTCGTCTCCTCGAAAGAGAAAGTCCAACAACTTGAAAGCCATTCATGTGCAACCCTCCATTTATTTATTCTCATATGCAGCACATTTGCGATAAAACCAATGATAACCATTTGGTTTGATTAGAAACCCGGTTTAAAAACAAAATTAGCAATGCATTTTGGTCTATAAATTATGGGCTTTAAATTACATTCTGAGCCCAATTTTAAAATTTAGAGTCGCAAAATTTTGACCTTTGAGTTTTTCCCGCCTTCCCGGTCCAGAAACTTTTATTCAAAATCTCTCTCTCTCTCTGAGTGACTGTTGGCTTGCAAGCGTCATTTTTGTTTCCTCTAACCTAAGATGGGAGAGAGAGGTGAACCATTTGACTTCCGAAGTTCAATTCGTTCTTGAGTTGCTTTTAAAATTAGCGATTTTGATATTGTGTGTTTCCAATTTGAGAAAATGTATGGTGTTTGTGGCAGTTGATCTTTGGTCTGAGATCATTGAATCCGAAGAAGAAGGCGGAGATAGATTCACAGATATACCTGTGGTCGAAGCTGTATATCAGAGAAGAAATAAGCTTGAGAAACCCTCCGTAGCTGCAGATTTGTAATTTCCGAAAACCTTCCGCTTCTTCCCCAAATTGAAATTTGTGTAGTTAATTTGGCTCTGTATCTGAGAATATTTCATTTGGATTGTGTATCTGAGAAACAGAGTCTGGTCGACGAAAGGGGCTCGTACTCATTCGATCAATGGACCCAAGAGAGATAGCTGGGCTCGTTCACTTTCCACCAGGTTACTTTCTGAGCATAACCCCAATTTTTTTCTTTCTTCTGATTCTGTGTTTTCCATGTTGCTACAAGAGCTCTTAAACTCGTTCTTCTAAGCTCTTGTTTTGTTTGTCGTCTTTCTAATTCTTTTGTTTAAGTTATGAAATTGCTGCACACCTTGTGTTTGTTGAAATGTCAACAAAGTGGCTCGTATCTAACTTTTGGTACTTGTGACAGAGGGAGAGAGAGTATTGCGGTGGGCGCTTATGTCAACAATCAGCCTCAGAAGAAGCCAGCCAGGAGAAAAAAACCAGCTATTCCAAAGGTAAGCTTAGTCAGTCAAAATATGTTTTCTCCTTTCTCCAGACTCTAGTTTTCTCTTGGGAGATGATATAAAGGCATTACATTTTCAAACTCACAGGGAAAAGTTGTTAAAGCTCCAGACTTTCAGAAAGAGAAGGAATATTTTCATGAGGTTGATGCTTTTGAGCTACTCGAAGAGAGTCCTTCTCCCAAGACCAAGAACTCTAGTACATGGACCATGGGTGAACAAGTTGTTCCTGAGATGCCACATCTGGCCACAAGATTAGAAAAATGGCTGATCTCCAAGAAGTTAAATCGTCCTTGTGGTCCTTCGAGCACACTCTCTAAGATACTTGAAAACTCAAACTTGACCACTCGCCTGGAGCCAATATATGATGATGATGCCTTTGATTCATTGGACGTAAAAACCCCAGAAAATTCTTCAGCTAGCAGCGCTTCAATTTTCAAGCTCATACAGAGCTGCGATGACAGCTTAGCTGCCGAAGATGTGCCTGATATAAAAATCAAGACGGAAGAAATCGACCTTGAAGATGAGCTGAAGCGACTGTCTTTGACGTCTGAATTGGCCTCCACTCATCTAGATTATAAGAAGTCGTTTCTTGATCTCTTGTCCGCCTGTGGACAGCGGCAACCATCAAACTTCATGGAAGCATTTTCTAAATTCTGGTATGGACCTAGAAATGATCTTATATGTTTTAGCATTGGGTGTTTGTCTATTGATTTGCCATTGCTACTTTAAGAATCTTTTGCATTTTTGGTCGACACTTTGGTTACCCTGGTTAAGAAATGTGATATACTGTTCGAATCTGCTGAGTTTAATTTGATCCAGTTATAATTATGTTTTAACCTTTGCAGTGAACCAGAAAGCATTGTCAAGATTGGTGAAGGTACATATGGGGAGGCTTTTCGGGCTGGTTCTAGTGTCTGTAAGATAGTTCCAATAGATGGAGACTTCAGGGTCAATGGAGAAATACAGAAGGTATTTTTCTCACCTCACCTTTTCTCCATGATGGTTTGAGACTACAACTTATAGTTGGTGAAATGATCATTTAAGCATGAGATGAAATTTTGGAGAGGCCAGCATATGCAAGTTTTGGTTTAATTCTATTTATAGTTAATAATTTAGATAAGCTGATGATCTCTAGAAAAATGCATTGATGCTTAAGGAAATGCATGCAATTTCTCACTCCATATGCTATTTGGATGAGTTATGGTTAATGTTATGCAAATACTAACAGCTTATCAGAGGAAAAAACTCGATTAATATAATGATTGCATCTTTGTTCTATGTTCGTTACTGCAGAGAGCTGATGAACTGCTTGAGGAAGTGATACTCTCATGGACTCTTAATCAACTAAGAGAATGCGAGACTGAAGCTAAGAATTTGTGCCCGACGTTCATAAAGACTCAAGAGTACGTCTTCTCAGGAACTAGAATAAGCTGGAGATATCTGTTGGCTTTGTGTTATAAATGTTTTACCAAACTTCTGTGCATCATTGTTCACAAATCTGGGCTCATAATGTTGTTGCAGTATAAAAGTATGCCAAGGTCCCTATGACCCTATTCTGGTAAAAGCATGGGAAGAATGGGATGCAAAACATGGTTCTGAGAATGATCACCCAGACTTCCCAGAGAAACAAGTAAGATTCTTTTCACTCCATTTGTTTTCAATTTATTTCTGTAAATGTAGGATAATGGATAATCTGTAGAATCAATATTCATTTTCCATGTGGTGGTTGTTTCCAGTGTTATGTCATGTTTGTTCTGGAACACGGTGGCAAAGATCTTGAAAGCTTTGTTCTTTTGAACTTTGATGAAGCACGGAGCTTATTGGTTCAGGTAAGTCAGAGACTCTAAATCCTTTAACAGAAATTGAGTAAATGATTTTTGTTCCCGGTTAATGATATGCGTTTCACATATAAGGTCACGGCTGGACTGGCTGTCGCTGAAGCTGCTTTTGAGTTTGAGCACCGAGACCTGCACTGGTAAGCTTAGTGTTTGATTTGGTATTGTTGACTACTTGTTAGTGTTTTCTCGCTTGAACTTTATGGATTCATTTCTTTTTTCTCCAGGGGAAACATTCTTCTGAGTCGTAATAACTCAAGTACTCTGCCTTTTATTATCGAGGGGAAAGAAGTTTTCATCAAAACTTTTGGATTACAGATATCCATAATCGACTTTACTCTTTCAAGAATCAATACAGGTGAGTTTCTGGTTCTTAATTTGTGATATAATGTAAACCATGAGGCCCAGTTTAATACTTGATTACCGATTTTCATGGTGCTTATGTGCTCAGGTGAAAAGATACTCTTTCTGGACCTTACTTCTGATCCATACCTTTTCAAAGGACCAAAAGGAGATAAACAAGTAATGAAACTTAGTTAAGCTGCTGTTGTTTCAATAGTGATGAAGTTGAATATTTATTTAAGCTTTGATAACGTCATCATGCAGTCCGAAACTTACAGAAAGATGAAGGCGGTTACTAAAGATTACTGGGAAGGAAGGTAAGCATTAACTCTTCCAAACCGCCCTTTTAGTTTTTACAGCGTAACATACCTTTCATCGAAGTGTGCCTAATGATTTGCTAATTTCAGTAATCACCATGTTTTCTTCTTCTTCTTTGTTACAACAGCTTCGCTCGAACAAATGTTCTGTGGTTAATCTATCTTGTGGATCTCTTACTGACCAAGAAGTCATTTGTAAGTTTGCAGGACACATAAATGATTATTGATTGCCTCAACTTAGAAAAGCCTATTGATACTCCTTTCGTTTGTGTGTCTATGTTCTTAGGAGCGGTCTTCAAAAGACGAAAGAGAACTACGGTCACTGAAGAAGAGGATGGAGAAGTATAAATCAACTAAAGAGGCTGTTTCAGATCCTTTCTTCTCAGATATGTTGATGGACCAAATAGCATGAAGAATATAATAATAACTACCATGAGTGAGTAATCAGAATCTCTCTTTCTCTCCTATCTTGTAAATTTGTTTGCCTAACCACTAAAACCAACAGTTTATTAGCTCATGTTTCATGATATTCCCTTTGAAGTTGTTTATCTAAGGGATCTATTTATTATCTATACCAATCTCGATTATCATCTTATCTAATGGATACGAGAGCTGATATCATATGTCAAGTTTTCTTGTTTTGTTTGTGTTGTGACAATAGTTTAATGGTAGCTTTGGTCTATGCACATACTTTTGGACCCATAAACTCTTTTTTGAAGAAAGTATCAAGATCTACCAATTCCACATGGGTTGTCCCTACTTGCATGAATAGATCTTCTTATCTCAAGAACAAAGTAGTACCAACATTTTCAAACTTTCAACATAAATACACATTTTTTATTCTTGTGATAAGGAAAGAACAACATTCAAACGTGTAGAGGATAAATGAGAAATTAGCTTTAGAGAATTATTACTATAAATTAATCTACTGAACAGCTAACAGAGCTTTATATCCTCTGCTTTTTTCAAATTTCTTTCCGCTTTGGAGATTTTTAAAAATCTTTGTGGGTTTTGCTGAGCTAAGCAAAAGATGATCCATTGTATTAGTTAATTTGATGATCTTAATCGGCGGCAGCACCAGTCTCTTCCTTTTTTTCTCCTTTTTGGATAAGAGAAAATAAAAAAGAATACCAAATTGCAGCTTCTTTCTTGAAAACTTTGGAGAGCTTTATGCATATGCTTATGTCTGAAACGGATCTGACAAAAATGGTTTTTTTTCTCCTTTGCACAAAACTAGAGAAAGAAAACAGATGAGATTGGTCATTGGCCAAATCCAAAAGACTTCACAGCAAAGAAAACATCTTTTTCTCTTTATATTTTTACTTAGTCACTTGCATGTAGAGTACAGTCAGCTTCTACCCTCTTTTTCTCCCCTAATTTTTTTCTCAAGAGAATCTAAAAGCTTTTTTGTTTTGCTTTCCCAATTTCATCTTCTTCACACCATTATGTTACTTATAAACCACCAAAAGAAAAGAAGAAGAAAACAACAAAACCAATCTCAAGCTCTGATGGCGAAACCTAGTTACTTCTTCTTGTTGCTTTCTCTTGTCTCATTCTGTTCGTCAACAACTACACATCATGATGTCTTAAACCCACCATTTCCTACAAACCCCACAACTACACCGCCGGTTACTACATTTCCTCCGGTGACCATAACGCCGACAAATCCAGCCACAGCAGTTCCTCTTACTCCCCCACTCATAACAATCCCTCCTCCTACACTCACACCACCTGTCACCAACCCAGTGACTCAGTATCCTCCAACACAACCCTCAGGAACGGTTCCGGTTCCTGTGATTCCACCACCTGTTGTCTCAAACTCTCCATCAGTTCCAGTGATCCCACCACCTGTGGTCTCAAACTCTCCATCAGTTCCTGTGATCCCACCACCTGTGGTCTCAAACTCTCCATCGGTTCCTGTGATTCCACCACCTGTTGTCTCAAACTCTCCATCAGTTCCAGGTCAAAGCTGGTGCGTGGCAAAGCCTGGAGCCTCTCAAACCTCAATCCAACTTGCTCTTGACTACGCCTGCGGGCTCGGTGGAGCGGATTGCTCTCAGATACAGCAGGGAGGCAACTGCTATTCGCCTATCAGTCTTCAGAGTCATGCCTCAGTTGCCTTCAACAGCTATTACCAGAAGAACCCTTCTCCACAAAGCTGCGACTTTGGCGGTGCAGCCTCCGTAGTTAGCACCAACCCAAGTGAGTGACAAAACCAAAAACAGAGGACTCTGTTTTCAAACTTATATGATTCTTTCTTGACTTGCTTAGTTTTGAATTGTTTGTTCCAAAACAGGCACTGGTTCTTGCGTTTACCAGACAGGTTCATCGACATCAACTCCATTAGGAACAGCAACGCCAACTCCATCGACACAAACAGTGAACCAGCCTCCTGTCACAACAACACCTATAACACCAACAGGAGGCGGCATAATCGGGTAATAAGAAACATTCTTTCAACTCTATCATTTTTGTCTGAAAGCATCTAAGTTTCCTAATTGAAAATGTGTCTCTCTATCTTGATTTACATTCTAGGGTTGGAACTCCACCAGCAATCTTTAACCCGGCGAATCCTTCATCAAACACTCTGACAAATCCATCATCGGGAAGTGCTGCGATTTACGGGTTTGATGGTTCACCAAATGGGAGCAATCCAACATCATCAGACTCTACCTACTTGCACATTCACTTTGGTCATACTATGGTGGCGACACTGATTCTTCACGCAGTGCTATTTCATTAGAAGTATAATATTTTTATATAGGAGTTGAGTTAGTTATATGACATAGTTTTGCGCAACTCCAAGCTCATTTAGAGTATCATCACAATCATCACAAGAAGAAGCTAGGTATGTAAGACATTATAAATTTGTTTGGTTTCCACAAGCTTGCTCAGGTTTCATATTTGTACAGAAAACTTCGGTTGTTTCCTTCTAGACATTTCTTTAGGACCAATGCAGAAACTCAGATGTTGTAACAAAGAGATGTAATCTGATTCCTTCATAGATTGTAAGGATAAGGTCTTTCTACTTTTAATACTGTTCTAATTCAAGTTCAACGCTTAGAAAAAGCAACTAATATCAGCATTGACACGGATACAACAACCTTGAAACCTGATTTGTCCCAGAAGTTTTGGTTGTTTAAAGCTTCAGCTTCATGCCGTTCCTTTGCAGCCAATTGCTCCTTGAGTTCTTGTATTGCCACATCGTTTCTCTCACCCAACTACCATCCCAAAAAAAAAAAACAACTCAAAAATTGGTGCTGTCTTCATAAAAATTACCATCACAAGTAAATAAAAGCAAGTGAAATTTTACCTTTTGAAGTTTTCGAGTTTGGATGCGTGTTTCACGAAGGCAAAACTCTAACTTGAGCACCCTCTTCTTCAGCTCCTGATCAATTCTCCTTTGATTCTCCACCTGCTCTTACAAGAAAACTAAAGTTTTTCACAGGCTTTAAGAAATCACAGAAACAAAAGAAGCTAAAGCATGTGTGTTGTTACCTGATCTTCTAGTTCCTTTGTCTTAAACCTCCAGTGAGCAGATATAATCTTTAGCTCATCTCTCAGTCTTGCTATTTCATCATCTTTAGCAGTCAAAAGCTTGTTGATTCTTTCAAAACTCTTTGGACGATGATCTTCTTCTACCACTTTCCTCACATCGAAACTACCCTTTGTCCTGATCACTGATACAGCACGCAAAACGTCACCTTCAACTTTCAGAACCTCATCTCTTAGCTGCTTCTGTGAAGATTCTCTAGCTTGTATCTCCTTCTGAAGCTTCTCTAGCTGCTCACCAAGTCTAGTTACTTGATCCTCATGCTCTTTCAAGGAGCCAGTCCTCTCGTTCAATTGTTTTGAAAGCAATCTGCATTGAGACTTAGCTGACTCAGCAGACAAAGCACTTGCCTCTGCAGTTGCATGTGTTGCTGCAAGCTGTGACTTTATCTCACTCAATTCCTTCACATACTACACAAACAAAAATCCAAGAAAACTATAAAAATTGTACAATCAAGAAATGTGAAGAAGAAGAAACCCAATCCTAACCTTCTCAGTAGCAACATCGGAGGCACGAATCTGCTCAACTTTCTTGTTTAGCTCCATACCAAGTTCGACCATTTCATCTTCCATTTTCTTAGCTCTTGTTTCTGCTTCCTGCTCATGTACAAAGCAGCACCATATAAAACTCAACATCGAGACCAAACTGAAACACATAAAAAAAGGCGAGAGCTTGCTTTACTTGCCTGCCTCGAAATGGCTTCTTGTGAGCACGAACGCTCTTGTTCAGCGAGACGAGTCCTTGCTTCTTTCAACTCGGTGGCCAAAGAGACCACATTTCTCCTGAAACTCTGCTTCTTCTCACTCAGGTCCTTCAACAAAGGATCATCTTCTCTCAAGCTGAAAGAAGTTGGCATTTCTTCTGGATTGGATAAAGATCACAGTTTTCCGATCTAGACAGATATTTATTCTCCGGAGAAAACCCAAATTCAAAATCGGAAAATGGATCTATTCATGTTCATCACGTGGACCCTGTACATTAACGAAGATAATCTCAGAATGAAAACACACATAAATGCCCAATTTCAGGATGATTAAGAATGTGAAAATCAAATCTGTCCACAAGAATCATATCCTCTTAATCAATTTCTAATAATCACAGCCATTAAAAAACTCTAACGAGCTAGGGAGTTCGCATTAGAGACAAAGAAACTTGTGCCGTCCCTTTCACAGGTCAATAAAGACGAGAACTTTTAAGTAAGTATACAGCCAAAAAAAACAAAAAAAAACGTGAGCTTTTTTTAATTCAAAATTTTGAAACTCTTACAGAATTTTGTTGTTGAATCTTCAGCCTAAAAATCCAAACTTTCTCGCGACCCACCAGTCTCCATCGTCGTCAGAGCTCAACGAAGTGAGGAGAAAAACCGATGAGACCGAATCTGACGGGTATCGGTTTAGAGTGGGTATGAAAGGAAGAAAGAATCAATTTGCAGATTCGTTCGAGTTTTTGATTTCTCCAGAGGAGGAAACAGACGAAGCAAAATGAACCTGTGTGGGGTCCTTATTCTTTTAGGGTCGGATTAGGATTCATTTTAAGGTATATTGCCTAAAATGCTTTGCTTCGGTGTTTCCGAGCCTGGTGCTTCGGATTTTGTGTCATAAAATAATTTGTGTCAGGGGGCTCGATTTCAGTTGCTACTTGCTAGGTTTGACTCGAGCGCGGCAAAATCTATTGTATTTTTATCATTCGAATTATAGAAAGCCACGTACACACTAATCGACTATGTTTATCATCTGGGCCGAATATTGTGGTTTTGGGTTTGAAACAATAATGCAAATGTTCCAATACAATGCAAACGCAAATGTTAACGCAATGCAAAAACACACGTGCACTGCATTGTACTAAATTACTAATGGTTTCAATGAGTCAAATACACGAATTCAAATTCGCATAGTTGAATATCTTTTGGAAAAAAAACATAACTCATCAGCTTCCTAGCATTTAAGATTATGGTACGGTACACAAAGTGGACCAATCCGACCAAACTATCAACGTTTATATAATTGCATTGTCGAATTCCCTCATCCACACACGGTTAAACAGTACAAAATATTTACACCGACGTCTCCTGTCACCTTGCGAACCACTCACTTTAATTCCTCATACCAAACTTACAAAACCAACTATAAAGAAGTAAAGAACATCTCTCTTCTCTTCATCCAAAACAATTTACTATAATACTATCCGACAGAGAGATAAGAGAGATGAACGGTGGAGGAAATGTGGTCTGCGTCACCGGAGCTTCCGGTTACATAGCTTCTTGGATTGTTAAGCTTTTGCTCCTCCAAGGCTACACCGTTAGGGCCACAGTTCGAAACCCAAGTTTGTTCCCAATTATCTAAAATATCATCTTTCTTTTTTGTTAGCTTTGGTCTTATGTTGTGTTTTGTTGAATGATGGTGACTCTTTAGTATTTATCTTACCTTTTCATTGTTTTACCAAACACGGTATTTTCTAATTTTCTCCACGACAATGAAGTTGTATGACTTGTAGAGTTTCACTTTGACGACATTTATGTGAAATATTTCTCTAGCGGACGCGAAGAAAACAGAACATCTTCTTGCACTTGACGGTGCAAAAGAAAGACTCAAATTGTTCAAAGCAGATCTTTTGGAAGAATGTTCCTTCGAGGAAGCTATTAAAGGTTGTGACGCTGTCTTCCATACCGCTTCTCCGGTTAAATTCGACGTCAAGGATCCTCAGGTTTGTCATGGAAAATGAAATGCATATTAAGCTTACTATTAATTAGCATAGCTTTAGTTCTAACGATTTCTAGACCTAAAGCAACTTCATCATAATATCGTTTTTATTTTAATCAGACTGAGCTGATTGATCCAGCCCTAAAGGGTATTATGAATGTCCTTAATACATGCAAAAGAGCTCCCTCTGTCAAAAGGGTAATTGTAACGTCGTCCACGTCTGCGGTTTGTGTTCGTCAATTGGAGTCAACCGATGTCGTGGACGAGACTTTCTTCTCTGATCCAAGTTTATGCACGAAGATGAAGGTCCTTAGATTTTGTTGCCAACATATCTATTTTTAGAGTTCGATCGTATTCTCTCTTACACTTTTTTATTTCCTCTTTAGTTATGGTATCCGCTTGCCAAGACTTTGGCAGAGAATGCAGCCTGGAAATTTGCCAAAGAAAATGGACTCGACATGGTCGTGATGAATCCAGGATTTATAATCGGACCACTTTTGCAACCAACTCTTAATTTCTCGGTAGAAATTATTGTGGATATCATGAATGGTAAGAACCCTTTCAATAGTAGTCACTACAAGTTCGTGGACGTGAGAGATGTTGCTTTGGCTCATGTCAAAGCATTGGAGACTCCGTCAGCCAATGGCAGATATATTATGGATGGTCCAAGTATGAAGACACACGACATTAAAGAGATTTTGCTTGAATCATTTCCAGATTTGTGTCTTGCTAACACGTGAGTTCTTTTTTCCTTTCATATTTACTTATTATCATACTGAAGTAGTGAAGTCCATAAATTTAACTAAAAGGTATTCCAAACACACATTTTTTTATTTTAGTTTAGGTATGAAGACAGTGAGATGAATGATCAATTAATGAATTACAAAGTGTGTGTGGAGAAAGTGAAGAGCTTGGGAATTGAGTTCACTCCTATAGAAGAATCCCTCAGAGACACTATTGTTAGCCTCAAGGAGAAATGTTTTCTCAATACATGATCCTCTCTGTTTTCTTGTAATTTTGTAGTTGTAATAATTGGAGAAACAATATGATGTAGGCTTTTGAAATTGCTTTGGCCATATCTACGAATCTTATGAGTAATAATAAGTACCTAATTATGGATCAAATTCTTTCAAATGCCAATTTACTATAATAGTAAACAAAATTCGTTCACATTTTTAGAAAACTCAACATATTTTTAAAACTGTAGCCATGAACACACTTTGTTTTATTTTCTGTTTGTGTGCATTGCACCGTTTTTAATAGTGTCAATGACTTTGCCAAATGCTTTTCAAGATTTTGATTTAAGAAAAAAAACAGGAGAAACAAACAAAAATGAAAATATTATTTACCTTTAAATTTTGTCAGATTTTCATTCGTTAAAGTGTTTTAAAAAATTCTTTAATTCCATTTTGGAATATAGGAAACACAAAAGGAAGTAAATATGAAACAAATCTTTGAAAAAGAAGGAAAGATATCATTTTGTTTGCTCCAATCTGGAATTTCTAAAGAAATGTATTTTAATTAGTTTTGTTAACATTAAAATGAAATATTTTGACACATGTCTTAATATGTCATAAATGGTTGAAGATTATATTTCAAGTTTTCATTTTAAAACTACAGTAGCAATTAAACTAAACAGATAAAGTTAAGGGAAATGAACGGCGAAGGAAAGGTGGTCTGCGTCACCGGAGGTTCCGGTTACATAGCGTCTTGGATTGTGAAGCTTCTGCTCCTCCGTGGCTACGCCGTCAAGGCCACCGTTCGAGACCCAAGTTTGCTCCCCTCCTCTCTTTTCTTTATCCTCTTTAATTATCTTTATAGATAAAGATAACATGCAAGATGAGCTAATTAATCTGAGCAAAATCCATGAGTAGAAATTTGTTCGCCTGGCTTTTTCTTTGTTTTCTTTCAAATCTAGAATACATTTTATCAAAAACTAAATCGTACCCAAAGCTAAACACAAGTTTATATCGATCACTTTCAATTCTGTTTTAGCCTTTTTACTTGGAAAAATGGGAAGAGACTAATTTCAACAATGATCAAACGACCACTGATATAACTACGGTTTAATGTTTATAATCTAAAGATGCACTTTGACATGCATGTGTATGTGTTTTTGATCTCCAGATGATCAAAAGAAAACAGATCATCTTCTTGCACTTGACGGCGCAAAAGAAAGACTCCAATTATTCAAAGCAAATCTTTTAGAAGAAGGTTCTTTCGAGCATGCAATTGATGGATGTGAGGCTGTCTTCCACACTGCTTCACCGGTTAAACCCTTTGCCGCTGATCCTCAGGTTCGTCTAGACCAATACAATCCTCGGTAATTAGTTTACTTTCTTGATTTATTGTTAGGAGAATCTCATATCTGAAATAATACATGAAGATCATGAGTTAATCTGTATTCATATATAACATTAAACTTAATATTACCTTGAATTTTGCAGGCTGAGCTAATCGAACTAGCTGTCAAGGGCACTATGAATGTCCTAGAAACATGCACTAAAGTGCCTTCTGTCAAGAGAGTCATCTTAACATCGTCCATAGCCACAGTGTTTTGTCCTAAGCCTCCCTTGGGACCAAACGACTTAATAGACGAAACAGTCTTCTCTGATCCAAGTGTTTGCGAGGAGAACAAGGTCTTTTACATTTGTGTTTTGACACATCGTTGAGTTATGGAAAAAACTTTCACAATTCTTACCTTTTTTATTTGTCTTGTCCTATCCAGCAATGGTATTTACTCTCCAAGACTTTGGCGGAAGATGCAGCAAGGCAGTTTGCCAAGGCCAACAAGATCGACTTGGTCGTAATCAATCCAGGATTCGTTGTCGGACCAATCTTGCAGCCAGCTCTTAACTTCTCGGTAGATGTAATTGTAGATTTCATAAACGGTAAGAACACTTTTAACCAGAGAAATCATAGGTTCGTGGACGTGAGAGATGTTGCTCTTGCTCATGTCAAGACCCTCGAGACTCCTTCGGCCAGTGGCAGATACATCATCGTTGGTCCGGCGACTGTGACAACAAATGAGATTGAAAAAGTTTTACGCGAATTCTATCCTGATTTGCGCATTGCTGATGAGTGAGTTCTTGTTTTTTTTCTTTAATAAGTCATAATCATGTTTTTGACTCTACAAACCTGACACAACTTTTTAACTCTTTTTCAGGAGTGAAGAAGGCACGAGTCCATTGAATTACAAAGCGAGTGTTGCAGAGAAAGTGAAAAGTTTGGGAATTGAGTTGACTCCTGCGGAAACAAGCCTTAGAGACACTGTTCTTAGTCTCAAAGAGAAATGTCTCCTGTGATCCTCTGTCGTACTTTTGCCATTTCAAGCTATCTATGCTTTTCATAAATGTTCCCGTTAAAGCGTGGAAAAAAAGTTGTTTTGAATTAATTTTGTTTCTCAGTTTATATAAAAAGGTCGATATTTCTCAGTTTAAATCAAATTGCATTGATTAGTAAGTTTAATCAGTTTTGCATCATCCATTATTTTGATGTGTATATACACACATTTTAAATTGACATAGGAATTAACATCACAACACCAATGAACTAGAAAATTTGCTCAATCCAATCCAGGAAGAGAGTATGTCACAGTGGCTTTTGTCAGATAAAAAGATACATAGGAGGAATCAATTCTTAGAACACAACACTTCACAGTTCCACAGATTCCTACACATAGTCAAAGTCTCCCCAAAAAAAAAAAAAAAAAACTGAAGAAAAAGAGATGACATACATAATCTACATTAAGCTCAGAATCAGAATCTGCCAAGAGCTTTCTTTCATCAAAAGACGAAAATGCTTGAGCCTTGAAGTTATGGTACCTGTCTTTGAGTTTGTGGGGGAGGAGATGAAACAATTGACATTGATTCTCATTTAGAAGCATCACCTTCTTGCTTAACTTTACCCAATTGAACGGTCGGGCTCTGTTTCTGTGCGCCTCCATTGTTCTTGGTGGTAGAAGCAGAGCTCTCCTTCTCTTTCACATTCTCTTTCACAGCGCCATTCGATGCGGTGCTCAGTTTTGGTTTCTGATCTCGATGGCCGGAGAGCTCAACGGATGCTTCTTTGAGTTTCGGAATCACCGACCTTGCCTTCTCCTTCTCCTTCTCTTTCTCCCTCTCCTTCTCCTTCTCCTTTTCCTTCTCCTTCTCCTTGGCGTCGTCGAGCGCGATGACCTCCTCAAGAGCCTCGCGTGCTCTCTTTTTCGCCAAAGCGGCCTCTTTTCCTCTCCGCTCAGCTTCGCCTTTATGGTAGCACACGGCCTTGGTCATAGAAGAAGCGGCGATCTTGGCGGCGCATAAAAAGGCTACGGAGAGGGATTTGTCTACGAAGCGAGACCCGTCGGAGCCGATGATAGGACTGAAGAAGGAGAAGCTATCGTTATCTTCCCGGCATGGAGGACAATGGAAAGGAGGAGATTTTGCATCGCCGACGCACTCGATGTGAGAGTAAGATCCACACTTGGAGCAGGTGACGCGGCGAGAAGGATGAGGAGGAGAAGAATCGTAGAAGACGAAGCAGGAGGGGCAAAACGACTGCGGATGGTTAAGGAGGAGGCAATGCGTGCAGAAGAATTGGAGAACGCTACGGAGGCGTGCTGCGTGTATGACCCAGGCGTCTCGGTTTTCGCACGTACCGCATATCTCGGGAGAAATCGCCGCGGGATCAGAAGACGGCGAAGTTGACGTCACCGGAGTCGGTGTCGCCGTTGACGATGGGAGATTCATAGTGTCGTCTGTCTGCGATTGGGGAAATTAGGGTTTTTTTCAATGGTGAGGAAGAAAGGGGACCTGACGGCGGAGGAAAAATTAATTGACTTGCGAAACGGTGCCGTACATGGGCTCAAATAATTGGGCCGTAAAATTGGTCGTCTCTTGGGCTTATAATTCTGATTTACGATATATTTTGATTAACTTCAAACGATTTCTCTTCAACAATATGCAATCAGATTCTTGTGGAAGTTCATTACCACAGTTGGATCGGATGAATACCCATTATTATACATTTATTACATTGCTACATTAATTTTATCATTTTATTTTGAAGTATGAACCAATTATTTTTCTTTTGTTTAGTTAAAAACGAAACATTCGCATATACATTTGAAAGATTTTAAATTCACAAGAAGAAAACTGTTAGGTAGAGTTCATAGTTGGGATTGATTAGTTTTTTGGACAGTCTAAGGAAGTGGCCACTGGCGAGTGGGGACATATTTGATTACGAGGATAGGGACATAAGCAAAAGATGCTTGTCAACGTGTAGAAGTTCAATGCATTTTGCATACGATTGTATGTATATATACATATATACATACATATTCTTTCTCAAAATATTGTTTCTGGCCAGCATTTAGCATCAAAGGAAACGCATTCTCATTCTCTACTCCTTTTCTCGATGTCGCCAGATTGTCATAGCATATGCCACACGTGTTACATCTCCCTTTCCCTCAACAGTTGCCACTTTGTCTCGACTCATCTATCACCATCCCTCGTGAATATAAAGATTTAAGATCATCATCCATCACATAAAGCTCCTCCAACAAATTTTCTTTTGTGTTCCACGTACAGTGACGTTTTGAACTTTTGATAAACAGATAGTGGATTTGTTTCTTTCTTTTGTTGAATCTTTTTCAACGCAGATAATTTGATAAGCCTCAATACATGTACGGTTAGTTAGAGCCGCAGTCAACATCTAACACGTAGCTGACCTTTTGAATTGTGGAAGGGCCAATTTCCAT